TACTGTAGTAGAAGCTTCTTGCTGGAAAATGGTTCCCCACAATCCCCTCCAAATATTCTATCCGTTTGAAGCATTCATTTAGCCATTATCACCATTTAGAAAGGGCTGGTAGCACTTGATCATTTTTGAAACCACTGAATCAGATTGCCGGCCAGTTGCGAGATTCGAGGTACGTTGAGTATTTCTTTAGCTCAACCTTTTGAAAATCACATCAACAACTTCAAGGTGTTTCCCAGTATCGGCCAAAGGCCAAAGAAAATTGCGAGGACGGTAATGTTGCATCCTTTTGTGTTTTGCTTGTTAAAAGTTTTGGGGAAGAGAAACATAAATATATATATCTTTGCTTGTACTATTGGTATGAAGTTTAACAATTTTATAACCAACATTTAGTATAAAGTAGTGTCATACCTAGAAGAAATGTCTTTTGCATATATAATTCCACATGAATTCGAGTTACTTGTGATGGCCAAAACAGATAAAAAGCAATCTCACTCGTCCGTGTCCCAAAAGGGCTGAAAACAATATAGTGGTCTTCTCTTTACAAAATGGTTGTCATTGGTGATAATAATGCAAAGGTAAAAATTAGATGACTGAGGCTTGCATCAGAAATAAGCCTGCATTTAGGGGTGTTCAAGATCTAGTCCAATCCGCTCAAACCAATCGAATCGATGATTTTGCAAGTCCGGCATTGGATCGGATGTGAGAAGAACCCAATTGAATCAAAATCAAATATAGTTGGTTTCATGCCAGTTTTCCTCTTTTAGTAATTTGAAATTGAATAAATTATGAACATTATTAAGTGATTTGATGGAGAGTTATGTCGATGATGGACTGGCATGCATACGGCCTCAGACAGAATAATCCTCAACTCAAGCAATCAAACAGCAAGCTTGAAAAAGAAACAAAACAAAACAACAACAGCAAAACAAAGCAAACCCCCACCCTCAACTCAATTACGCAGTATTTTCTTTCAGAATTGAACACTCGACGAACAACAAACTTTTATTAGGAAAAGCCAAAGAAACAACCTGAAATAATAACCCAAATAGCTAGTACAAGTGGAGGAAATAGACAGACCAGCGAACAAGGAGAAATTTAATGAAATAGATATAGACAGACCAGTCAATATAAATCCCCTTCATTCAAGAGTATAGTCAATAACTTAAATCGTTTTGGAATCTTTCGCAATCTTGGACAGCGGACTATCTTTAGATTCTTGAGCTTCATTATTGCCCCTTCTTCCACTATCAACTCCTCCAAATCATTTAACAATTGTAGATGTAGAATGTGCAACTGAGGAAACCCTTCTGAGGAGGAGCAAACCAGTTTTGTCCACTTGTATGAATGGTATCCCAAGAGAAGCATCTTTAGGTTTGGCAACCTCCCAAGCTTATCTATTGAATCTTCCTCGAGAACGGAATTAGAAAGACTTAGCTTGACGAGGTTCGGTGGGAATTGGTGTGGATCAGGTAGCTTCTTTATATTCCCGTTCAAATGGAGCTTGTGGAGATGCTCCAAATGAGAAAGGCTTATGTCTGTTGGCAATGTTGAATAGGGCATATTGAAATACAGTGACAAGGATTCAAGGCAGTGCAATCTCTCTATGTTGGAAACCAATGAGTTTAATTCTTCTTGCGCTAATAGTACTATTATCAGTCGTCGCAGATTAGTCAAGCTGGCTAAACGGCCATCTTCTATCCATCTTCCACCCTTTACCCATTCTATGGTCCTTAAATTGTTTAACAAATCCAATCTAGAATTCATTATAGCGACTACACCGACGACCACCAAATGTCTCAAATTCTTCAACTTCCAAATAACATTAGGAAAACACAGATTTATGAAATTTGTTACTTCGAGTGTCTGTAGATTCTTCATTTTTCCAATTGATCGAGGCAGATCGTTTGTCACCATATATGTTTTCATTAATACTCCTAGTCCTAGATACCTCAGTTGAATTAGGTTTCCTATAGCACTTGGTGATGAAAAGGGAACACCATCTAGGACCCTGAGCAACTTGAAATCCTTGAAAACAAAGTCGAGTTTTGAATCCCCCATGTTGAAAAATAGAAGGGAGCGTAAATAGGGGGCATACGGCTTTAGAAAAACATACAGGTTATCATGTTCACCATGGATTGCAAGCCTTCGACATTTGGTCCGTTGTGATGTTGGCGATTCAATTTCCTGCCCACTATAAATTTCAAGAAAACTTTCCTCTCTGCCCTTGGAGATAGAGAAGTCTCTGAGAACATCATGCATGCGAACGGCTTTAAGACTTCCAAGTGAGGTTAGTGTTCCTACCTGGATCATGCACCTATCAACCAACTCGTTTAAGCAATTTTCGGCAACACCTTCCGCAGCTTCTTCTCCTTGTTGTGGTAAGAATCCTTCTGCAACCCACAAGCGTATCAACTTTGTTTTCGATATAGAGGAATCCTCAGGGAAAAGACCCAAATAGAGAAAACATGATTTTAAGTGGAAAGGCAAATCATTGTAGCTTAGAGCTAAAACTGCAGAAACACGATCTTGA